TAATCTACACACACGCATATGAGCATTAACTTTTCTTTTTGATTATGCAACTAGCAGTTACACGTGATTATAGTAGCTGTACAAATCCTGGTCTCTGTATTAATTCGAATTTTTGTAAACAAGACATTTTTTACCATTACTACATTTATATACGCAAAGATTTTTGTTCTTTCTTATGATAATAAGAGTCAATAACAATAATGACACATACGTTTTGCATATTTCAAATGTTCACTGTAAAAGGTTAGAGAAAACTAACAATGTTAACTATCCATAGAGATGTGCGAAGATATTTAATGTTCTTTTAAGATTCATAAAGGAAAACTTGAAATTTTCAAAATTTTCATGAGGCGATTATTAAAACTATTGGTAGTAGCTTATCACATAATCTTAAAGTTTCCAATTCATATTCTCTGCCTGGTCAAGTCATTACTGAACTTTTGCCTAAAATTTGGGGTACTTTATAAAACTTCAGCACAATTTGAAGATCACTTACTACTGTGTAAGTTGATTTTATTTTAAATACATATCTCTAAATTGAGGTGAATATGTAGTGTGAATCATCACAAGTTTCAGATTTAAGTTCTCACTAGTATGGCTGAGAAGTAAATACTGGGGCATTAAACGAGCTACCTATGTTGCTGGAAAATTAATATTAGAACAAATTACTACATTATTTATCCATATCCATGAATAAATGTGTGGAATTTCTCTCGGTTATTTCATAGTTTACAGGGATTTTCCAGTTAGTCTCAGTTTGTCATTAAATTTACCTTCAAACCTATCATTTGACTGCAAATTAGCCGACTTCCTATCAGATTATTGCTTTGATAGAAATATTCCATAATGGAAGTGAAAAGGCATCATCGGTAGATGCAGTTCATTCGGTAATGCGAATGAACTTTTATCCTTGATATGGCGTAACTATTTGCGACTAGTTACAAACCAATTTATAGTGAGAAATGTGGACCATCAGATAATAATCTGAATGTTAGACAACGTTTCAAGAATAGAATCTAAAGTATCAGTATCAGGCGGAATAAGTACTCAGGTAGTTATAATTGCTAAATATACTATGCTTATCATCAGCTACTTGTAGAAGTTCTGACTAAAACTTTATACCAGAGTTACACAAGAATATTTCCTTACAGATTTTGATTTTGTAAATGTTAGTTTATGTTTAATTTGCCCAAAAGAATTACCTAATGGCATCAGATTTTATTCATAGAATCAACTGTAAACAATAAATGGTTGGCAATCGTTTCTTCCCTGTGTGTGACAAACAATTCTACATGACACTTTAGATTTAGATTTAAAACTCAAGTTTATAAGTTTCTCAAATAAAAACACAACCATAATTTGGTATTTTAGTTTTCAAGTATTGACTACCTTTGCACAACATAATCCAATCATGTATTTTTTCGGACAGAGGTTAGATAATCTGCATTTGCATGCTTCGAATTGATGAAAAATTCTATTTTTATAAGAGATGTATAGATGATAATTTTATCATCTGTGAATGAGACAGCGACCTAAATAAAATATTACAAGGGTTCAATAATTGTTACCGCTTGATTAAGTTCATAATAAAAGCGGAGTTGAACTCAAAATTCTACTTACTTGATGTTCTACTGAAACAAAGATCAGATGGGTCCCTACGATGATCGCTATACAGAAAGTCAAACTAGAAAGGGCAATACACAAATTTTCTGGAGAATGGCTCCCCAGCTAAAATCATTGAAGGTAATCTAAAACCAAATGTCAAGTCAAAATAACTCCTACAGTTCCGAAGAAAGATTTACTCTCGAAACAGCAGCTAAGATATTAAAGAACAGACTATTGAGAGAGACTTTTAATTCAACAGAGCTCTTGACCGTTACCTCCTGCGAGAAACTTATTCGGGGAAGTGTCAAGGATAAAATGCCGCCTTGGGACACCTCAATGTACATCTACCAGTTTAGTTGCTCCTGTGGGGCGGGTTACGTCGGCCGTACGAAGCGCACACAACGCACTATCCTCCATGGTTACATAAAAGTGTAAACAAATTAATCTATAACTCAGCTTTTCAACACATGGTCAACTCAGGTCACACCCCACTCCCTCTACAAAGTAAGAAGAACTGGATCAAAAATGTTTGGATGAGGAAGTTATGCACAGCCGGGTCTATAAAAATTCATTTCAAACCCAAACTCTAAGTACGTAAGAGTCACATCCACTCCCTAATTCTTTCATGATTATAACACCCCTTTCAATTCTATATATTACAATTGCTAATTACTGCTTTATTCTCCTTTATTACTTCCGAAACTATTATGTAATGTAAGCTCTTGATAATTGTTGATTACTTTATTGAATGGTGCACTCTTTTTTATTCAATACCTAAGAACTTTAATTACATTAAAATAAGACTTCCACTTATTAATTACCACTGGAAATACTCGAAGATTTTTGATAATCTCAACTATATTATGCAACATCACTTCATTTTGATTGACCTCCATTTGAATAAGTTTGACTAACATTGATAATTTTGTAATATCACTCTATTTTGCAGTAGAGTACAATAAACTACAACATTTAAGAAATTACCTATAAATACGATTTTACAACTTCAGAAAATGATATCGTTGCAAGGAATCTTTTCTTCACTGAAACGTCTTCGTTCCTTTTAATATCAAAATTCTTGAGAAAATAGTAAGTTTGGTTTTATATTGTATAGATAATCCTTCTTAGAAAAGTGATAAATTAATACATCATTCACTATACTTTACACAGTGTTATTCAAGTAAAATATGACTGAATATTGAGAAACCTCGATTTGTTAATGTAAAATAAAACTCCATCCAGACTCACTACTGAACCGTTACACATGACTAAATTACGGGAAAAATAACACAGTTCATAGTACTCCATGTAAACAAAAATGTACTATCGAACATTTACAAAATCATTTAGATAGTAGAAAATTAGAAATGTTTCGTACTGAATAACTAGACATTAATTTTTAAAGTAATGTGACTCACTTTTGTGCTAGTCTGTTAGAAGGTTGATTATGATTTGTTGAAAGAATTCACTTTACAGTAATAATGTATGTTGGTCGTTAATATCTAACAGTAATGAATTAAACTTTAAAAGCATGTTTTTTATACGAACTGAAAGGAAACCCCTTAATTATCTCCAAATTTTAAAATCATTTCATGTTTGTAGGTCAGACAATTCCACGTTTGCATAAAATAGAGAGAGTATGAAAGTCTCACTATCTGCTTACTCATATTTGGATATAAACAGATCAAATATTAAACACTCTTTTATGCAGTAGAACAGATTCGCTATTTTACATTAGCTTCATCCGATATGATATCGGTTGACGATAAAAGCTTATTTCCAATTTGTATGTCATCTACAAAATATCGTATTGGGAAATGAGTTGTTTATGTGCATAAATAATAGTATAAAGCTTAATTTACACACCTGAATATAATTACAAATTTGACAGTCAAAGCTTTGAAATAAAAGATATTAAACGATGTTAGAAAACATAAAATTCATTCTAATTGAGTGAACAATTGTGAGGCAAGAAGAAAAAGATATTCTACTAAGGAATGAAGCGGAGTTGTTAACGTAAATATATACAAAGTAGTAAGGTACGACATTAATAAAAGTGATAATACACTAGGGAAAAGAGTTACTCAAATCACGAATAAAATAATAATTGGGAGGTCTGAAATATATAAGAAGCACAGGAATCTGGAAAGATTAGCATGATTTCTTAGATAATTTTGTTTTAATAAGCTTAAAAACAGCTAGACGATTGCTTATTTTCAAACATATGTATAATTTGTATACCTACAAGGATTGATTCATTTGAAAGTAGTGGGTAAATTTCTTACCTAGTTGCTTTTTAGGCATTTTACTTGAAGTAAACAAATTAAGGTATAACTAGATAAACACCAGACTTTATACTTTGAAATTATTTTCTGATGCATCATTCACTGATTGTGCAAAGAGTTTGAATCAACGTTCAGGCGAATGAATCAGTGTCACCTCATTATATTAATTCTAAACCTTGCCCCTAAACTTAATGATCCAGCTCATTATCAGAGTTTGTACATCCAAGAATCAAAGACTAGTTAGAGGAGATAACAAGAGGCTTGGTAACGTATAATATTGTAGTTCGAGATCTAAAACGTTTCTTCCTTAGGGTTTCAGCTGTGCTACTCCCGTTGACTGTTTATTCGTGCAATGATTCTTTCTGATAACTATCACATGGATCATTCGAATGTTTGTTTTAGATTAAAGTTTCTATCGGTGCACCTAGATATATAGCTATTTTTTACAAAAATTCGTCAGAAGTTTTCCGAAACGTCATCAACTTTCGTCGAAATGCATATTTGCTCAGTCCTCAGGGGTAAAAACATAATAGTGGCTTTTTTCATATTTAGTGGGACCTAGATTCGGAAACTCGTGGACCTCTTGTTTCAAGCTGATTTTGTAGATATTATACTTTAGGAAGTGGTATTCCGAGTTAAAGTTCAGTTGCCGCATGGGGTTAGTTTATTAGAGACAGTTCTTGAAATCACGAATGGTGTCATAAACTTTGCTATTTTCATATTACATAATGAAATATTGTTTTTATACCGCTTTTGTAACTTCAAACTGTCGAGTAATGAATGGAGCACAACATTAACCTAATTTCTGATAAAATAATTGACTAAAAAGTGATCGATGCTAAACTTAATCAGTATGTCTATAAAACTCATTATAAGATGGAAACCTCAATCTGATCTTGGACAGCGATTGAAAAACCATTTCTCCACTTATGATTACCAGTATAAAGGAATACTAGAAGTTTTAGTTTTATTGTTAATTTCATTTGAACGTTCTTACTTATAATAATTTAATCAAAAGTAACTGGAAGATCATCGCTACCAGACTGGCTGCTTCATAAAACATGAAACCATGGAACCAATTTAAGCTTCACCCACTTTTACACTAAACGGTTATTATTTATCAAATTTATTATAAATAAAATCATTTACAAACATTTTAGCAATTTGTATTACATTTGTTAATTAAACTCTTTGGCAAACGTTTATCAGTACATTTTTTTGGTCGGTGGAGTCAATATTAAGGTTCTATTCAATCAGATTCATCATCAGCTAATGAATTTATTCCATAAATTGAAGAACGTTTCCCGCTAAAATAAAAGTAAATAAAAGGAAACAAATAAATAAGCTAATAAAATAAACACTGGAAAAGTTGGAAAAAAAGCATACAATAATGTTTTCAAATCACATTACTAATTCGTTAACACGTAAAGTATAATATAAAGAAATATAATACACCTGTTTACATTAAAACTTTTGTTCTTGAAGCAATAGTTAGTAAATAGGTTGTTTGTTTTTTTAAATGGCAATAGAAGAAAAATTCTATCGCTGTGACCATAGTGATAGTAACAACAATTATATACATAAATAGGAGTTATTAAAATAGAGACTATAATGATTATGCTTTCTTGTATTGCAAAATTCCGTTGAGAATCAAAAATAATGTTTATTTTTAAAAAATCATCTGTCGAAATATTAACATTTTTTGTATGATACATAAACATATAAATATCATACATAAAAGTACATAGATATTGAATTTATTGAATTATACACATAGCTTATATTATATTGCATAACATTACAATTTAGTTTGTCTAATAAACAGAAAAACAAGATAAACTTTTAGGAAACAAAAACTAAAATGGCATCCATTTGTACTACTTAATTGTCTTATTTATAATTAATTTAGAATATAAATTTGTCGAGATGAGTCTAGTCAATATTGTAGCCTTTCTTAGTGAAATGACATATCTTTGTCTGGATAGTATTTTTTGTGTTGAAGTGATGCGAAAAACATGAATTTTCTGAAAACACTAGTTGGTAAGCTATGAGCTATTGGTTAGATTGTTCCTGAAATATGACTACATTTGTTGATCTATAATTATATTGTTGTATCTAAAAAGTATGAGATAGACCTTAATTCTTCAAACTACTTTTTTTCTTATTTAATCCTGAATGAAGAAAAAAATACTTTCACTAACATTTATGACTAGTACTTATATTATTTCAATGGAATAGGAATGAACAATATCTGTGTTAATAAAAATAGAAAAATGGCTTTCAATAGTCCCATTTGATGAATAAAAAAATTACTCTTTACAATGTGACAAATTCAGTCTATACTGATGAGGGCATTTAGGTAAACGTATTACAACAAAGAATCCTTAGTAATGAATTAATAACATTTTATCCAATATTTAGTTGTCGGAATAATGAAATATTAAAATCGAAAAACTCAATACTTTAGTGGTACACCCATTAAAAGCATACTAAAATAGTTTAACTCAATATAATTTACAGTCTTTATAAGCAAAGATGGATGGTGGTTAGCAGTGGAATCCAGGACTCGTGTTTTGTACTATTTGGGACACTTCAGCTGGGTGAACTTGCATCTAAGAGTTGATGTTCACTTTGTGACTCGAACCTAGTACCGTGACCTCCAAACACCATCGCGTTATCCACCTAGCTACTGAGTCCTGATAGCCACTTGCTTGTGCAATGGGATGAAATTTAAATTCCCTTAATATTATTTCCTTGTATCTTCCCATTGTTGTTAAGGTCTGTAATTGATCAGTTTCTTATTGGTATATGTGCATCCCGAGTGAACATCAACTCTAGGATGTAGGTACATCCAGCTGACGAGTCCCAAATAGGACGAAAAGCGCATCCTGGATTCCACTTTTAGCCACCATCCATCTTTGCTTATACAGCTCGTAACGTAAGGCAATATTGAAGCACTCCGCACAGGATGTACATATACCAACAAGAGACTGATCGATTTCAGACCTTAACAACGATAGGAAGATACGAGCAAATAATCATAAGTGAATTTACAGTTTTGTTTATTTTGCTACTAATTACCAATAAAAAATTAGACTATTAATTATTTCAAATAAATAAATCACGACTATGTGATGACACAATAATACAAGATATTATCAATCGTCTTACATTAGGATGAATATAACAAATTACTACTATAAAAGCATATATTTACTCAAAACACCGTAAATTCATGAATCTGTACTTTGTGGAACATTATCGAATTTCACCTACTTATAGATAACCCTTTTTTAAACATTCTGTATTTTCTTAGTCAGAAACCCTTTGCAATTAGAATTCTCATTTTATTATGAATAAAATTAATTATTATTATAAATAACCAATTTCCTTTTGCAACAAATAATTTATGACATTTCAGTAAAAGAGGAAAAAAGTGTGTAAGTTAATAGCTATGAAATAAACATTCCAATAGTTGAAACCATGAGCTAATTAAAGCCAGACCACAATGGAAAACCTGAAAGCACTGGACAGCCGTTTTGCCCTATTGTGGGACTCTTCAGCAATGAACAGTTAAAGATTGTCTAATTATTTAACACATTTACTAGCTTATAGAAAACTAATTTCATTTTCATTTTTTTATTATACTATCATTATATTATTATTATATATTATTAAAACTTTACTGTGAAAAAGTACACTTTTAATAGTAAATTAATATCTTTAATAAATTTCAACTGTTGAGATCATGAGTCAATTGAAGCTACACCACCATGGAAAACCTGGAAGCACTGGACCACCGTTTCTTCCTAGTATGGGCCCCCTCAGCAGTACGCATCCACGATCCCGCCCCGCGAGATTCGAACCCAGAGCCTACTGGTCTCACGCGCGAGCACTTAACCACTAGACCACTGAACCGGCATCCAACGGTATTAATGTCTAACTTCAACTAATCCATGAAATTGAGCGACACATCCACCATTGTCATCAGTGAGTTACTATCTCACAACTGACCCAGTTGAACTCCACTGATCACTGCTTCTCACTAGAACTCCAAGATATACATCTTTAATAAATGATGAAAGAATATAATTGTTTATTAAAAATTCAAAACTAACATTATTATATAAACTTACAGATCTTCAAGCCACTTAGCACTATCTTTTAATTTTTGTAAACGTAGTAATTCTTGAAATCTAAGTCCATTTAACATACGTTTTTTTGGTTCATTTAAATATTCATATCTAATGAAAGTAGAATAAAATAAAAATTCGATTTATAAATAAAACCAATGAAACAATCGAATTAAAACAACAATTTTTTTTCAAATATTTAACATCGTTTTTGTTTTGTTTTAATGAAACAAAGTATATATGATTATGTCATTGAATTATGTTATCTCAATCATTTACTATTTATAATGTTGTTACAATAACATTTATACATAATTCACTGATTTTAATTACTTTTTTCTTGAATATTTATTTGACTTATCTTTGACATTTAAATATACAAGTATAACTTTCACTGTATATCTCAACTTTTATATTTTTCACATCAATCAAGTTATTACATAAAAGCAGTCATCATATTAATTTTATTATAATAGATGAAACGGCGAGACTCTAATTTATGGACGAGCTAATCAGAAGCGTTTTAGAGATTTCAAGGTTACGGCGCCAACTTCAGTGCTTAAGGCTAACGTACGATCGGTTCACAGGGAATCTTGTACAAAACGTAATAAATGAGCGGCTATAACAAATAAGATGGCGAGACTATAATTTGTGGACGAATCAATCAGGTATAAGACAACAGATCTCGGATTTTAAAGTGAAAGCCCTTCATCCATTTGACTTAATAAATTTCTGGCATTATAGCTGATGTCATTTCGTGATGAAAACCCCATATATAATTCCTAACCAAAGTAAATTGGGAAAATTATCGCGAACTGCATAGTAAAAGCACCAGTAACACCGGCTGCACCCAGGTACTACAATATATGCGGATGTTTGGAGAGCGTACAGACTCCTACACAGGCTTGGTTATGTGCATCGTGTCGTTATCCACAAGTAGCATTTTGTGCACTCAACTCGCATGGCTCCAGAGGCCGACTATTCTGTAGCCATATGAATGATTTCCTCTACTGCATGCATTACGATTTTGGAACCTCTGAACCTCTTTCTAACCTCGACGAGTTTTTGAACCACGTATAAGAAGTGTATCCACTTTATTTCCTTGGTTTTGTATAATATATTTTCACTCTATACTGACTGTGCTGATAGGCTAATGTTTCTCGAGGTCACTTAAGATTCGTTCAAAGGTCGTCCATAAATTAGAGTCTCGCCAAGAAATGTTATACATTAGTTCAATTATATGTTAATAATCAGTAACTTGAATTGATAGACATTTAGTATATAATTCTTATTTAAATTTTTCAGAATTCCAATCTAAATTAAAGAACAACATCAAATTTTCTATTTTCCATTGATAATAGGTGAAAAGGTCTAAAGCACAGACTGATATTCAACTGAGTTGTTACCAAATTAATTTTCATACTATATGTCTGAATAACTTCGTGGATTGGTTGAGGTTATACATTAACACCATTGGGTGCCGGCTCAGTGGTCCAGTAGGTTAAGCGTTCGCGCACGAGACCGAAGGCCCTGGGTTCGAGTCCTGCGGGCGGGGCCGTGGATGCGCACTACTGAGGAGTCCCGCAATAGGATGAAACGGCCATCCAGTGCTTCCAGGTTTTCAATGGTGGTCTAAAATTAATCGATTAATGGTCTCAATCAAAAACCTAACAATCTCCACAACCCCTAAACTGATAAAGACATAATAGTACAGATTAATGACTTATCGATTATACCGTTAAACTGTAACTTTATGTACATCAAAAAGATAATAGACTGAGTGATCTATAAATGTTTCAGTTGTGATTATAAAACAATAAAATTATATACTTAAAGACTGAGTCACAAAGGTTTTGACTAATTAGTAGTATTAACATTTTTCATATTTATGAGGATATTCTTTTTTTTCTGTAAAATCCCTTGAATAAGTTTTATTATATTTTTTCGGTGCTGGAACAAAAACAAACGTACATGATATTCTCTTTTTTTGTGACTAACTGTTAAAGATCAAACGGTTGAAACAGCCTACTCAATTTTTCACTCAGTTATCACAGAATGTTTATTTTTTCAAAATATTATTCCCTTAATGCCATTGCTTGGAATTTCTAAATTTAAAGTATTCTATGCTTGAGTCATTCTATAGGGTCAAAGACAGATTTTCAGACGTAAGCTTACTAGATCATATGTTGAATTATGCTACGTCTTAAAATCTTATAAAACATCGTTAGTTTAAGATTAAATTTATGACTAGAATATGTCTCCCTAGGTAATTCAGTCACTGCCTACCCTGACACTATATGCTAGCTAGAGGCTGTCTGGAAAAAAGTTAGAGAAAGATGTATCAAGGCATAACGTTAGTCGTGCCAGGTTTTTGATCATTAGTTTATATTGATTGATGTGATTCTAACACTGATTGAATTCTATCAAAATTCTATCCTATCTGCACTTTTTCACTTGATATGATTTTTCTGTTTTGAGTTATATTCCTTACGATAGATTTTCTAGATGTTCAACACACAGGTCAATCATTACACAATAAACACGTCAAAATCAACCCTACTCATCAATCAATTTAAACAAGCTCCCTTCTACGTAAGGTGTGTGCCGATAATAAAGTTCAGAAGTACAATAACAGTTTTATAGTAAAACCATTCAGCTCAGAGAACATGACTCCTCCAAAAGGTTTGAGCACCATTAAGACGTTTGTGTGGCAGATGTTTCTGTCATATTGTTCTTTCAAATGCAAAAATGATACATGATTTTAAGTAACTTCTATCATTATTGCAGTAAATTTTTTCACTGCCATTATAAACAAAATTATGATTTGGAACGTTTATCAGTGGGTTCAACTATTGAGGATAGACATTATTACCTTTGGATGTCAGATCAGCGGTCTAAATGTTAAGTGTTTGCTCACGAACCCAAAGGTCCTGGGTTTGAGTCACGCGTTCATGATCGTGGATGTGCACTGCTGAGTCCGATACTTAGACGGAATGGCCGTCCAGTGCTTCAAGTTTCTTTGTGGTGGTTAAGCTTAGAGTGACTCGTAAATTCAACTTTATAATACTATGGATAGCTTCAGGTTCTATGATTTACCCTTGTATACGGGCATATTAAATAAAACTAAAAGAATATTATTGAAAATTGTAAGCATTCATTACTGAGTTGCTGATATACTAACTAATCTACGAGATTCAGCTTCGATCCAGGTTTGATTTTGATCCCATCCAACTAACATTGTTTATGACTACCATTTAAACTGAAAACTTACAATCATTTGTATTTATTCGAATTAACTGCCCAACTAAAGTTTTTTTAACGGAATCCAAATTTGAAATCGACGGTAGATTTAAAAGAATAATTCCAAATCAAACTATTTAAAAATCCTTTGACTAAAAGACTATGTTGAGAGAGAAGTATTTGACATAAGTCAAATTAATAATAATTCAATTAATTTTGCATAGGATTCGAATAAGTTTCTTGAGACAATACATTAAGTACCCTAAGCACTGACCAGTGTTTTTTAACCATCCAAAAGATAAACCATAGTTACAGTGAAGAAAACATTGAGATTGATATATAATTATCAATATGACACTTAAATATTCTGAACAAAATGATTCTACTTTAAAGAAACCTGTAATACTTTTGAATTATTAATAAAGATCGAAAGCATGTATTTCTTAAGAAAATATTGTTATACGTATGTATTATATATTGAAATGTTATAAACTGTTCATACACACAATAAAATAGATTATAATGTGATCATAAAAAATGGTTCCATTTTAGAACCAAACAAAAATCTTTAGCAAGTAAGTACTAGCAGTTTACGACAATGAAGTAGAAAAGATGTTCCAAAAACTTGAAGCAAAAAACACTTGAAAATTTCCATTAGGACTTTTTGTATAAGAACTTGTTATTTATTATGTATATATTTTTGCTTTAATAACATGAAAACTTCCACAATTAGAATTATTCATTTAAAATCAAATCAATGAATATCTCTGAAATGTATATTTAAGGGAATTATATTTAAAATGAAAGATTAAAATGTGAATATATACATAGTGTTTATAATATGAGACTTAGAAGGTTTTACTTTTATCCCTTATGTGATTGTGGAAGCTCATTGATGAAGACGAAATAACTGTCTAATTCATCTTGATATTCACTAGTTATTTCTTTAGCTGATGTCATCCTATGATTAAGAGTATAATCAAATAAATATTATTCTCAATCTGATAGCTTCAAATAAGTAACTTACAATAATATCCATGATTATTAGTTTGCTAGTAATATTGTGACACATATGAACAATGTTCTATCCTACAAAAGTCCTGCGTGATACTAACACATAATATGGGCAAATTCAAAAATATAATTACTTTAGAACTACTAACCTAGGTATTTGATAATTGCCAGACTTTTTATATCACACGCGATCACTTTATATGACCGTAAGTCGATGAACTTATCATGCCAGCCCAATTCATTTTGGAAAAATACACGGTGTCTGTTATTGAAGTTAATCTAGAATTTTTAGGCTAATTATTTGGAAATAAACGTTTGCTCTATGTTGAAAATTGTAAAAAGTGGTATTCATTGACTATTATTCAGATATTAAATCTAGCATTTTTTTGAAATCTGTCTACTACCACATACAATAATGTGAATACTCCTATAAGAATTTCAGGAAAATTATTCTATACTCGGATTCACAATGGTCAAAGTCATCAAAAGTTTAAACCCTGAACTTCTGGATCCACCGTAAATATGCATTTCCTGTTGTTATCAACTCTGATAACCCAAACTTTATTTCCTCAGACAACATCCACTCATTACTTATTGTTTCGATTTGTACAATTTACATAAGCTTTAGGGAATATCATAATTGATTGTAAAATTAATATCAACCGATGATTAAAAATAGCCTGATGATACTAGAGAATCTTAAGATAAACGACTTATCAACTATATAATTTCACGTTCAAACTCTGATCACTATAAAAATTATAAATTATTGGAAAACTCTGATCAATAAACATGTAAATTAAAACCCATAATTCATTATTTTGTTATATTTATCTTTTCGATCCACTAAGTAATGAATAGATCAATCTTCCCAACACAATTCTTGGATACAAAATAAAAATTTCATCATTTGGATTAATATATAAAAGCATTTTAAATATCTAACAGTTTTACACACTAATGTCTTTGAATAATCACTTAACTTTCTTTTCTTTATTCAATATATTCATGAGAACTGACACAATCAGGTCAATTTTCAAGTAATTAATTAAACATTTATTAATTTGACGAGGTAGCAAATTATTAATACGATAAAATAGAATTTTGTCACTTGGACAAACAGTTTTATAAAGAAAAAAAAGAAAAAAAGAAAGAAAATATTGAACAAAACTAAATCACTCTTGTTCTTATTAATCTCTACCCATTACATAGAAAAGTTATAGTTACTAGAATTATTGTTTCTCTAATAAAAGTTGAACTTATAAAACCATTATATCTAATTAATAATAAATATATGAATGATTAAAACAAAATAGACAGATATAAGATAGACAGTTATATAAAAGCTTTATAGGATATAAATGTTAATCAGCAATATTTATTTGATACATAGATGATTGAATATAAACTAAGAAATCGACAAATCAGAAAACAAAATGCAACACAAGTTTCATTGACATTTAAGACATTGAATATTTCCTCTAGTTGTCAGTATGAATGATAGATAGGTATACTTTTCAACAAAATGCCAACATTAACATATTTTTAATTGGTTAAGAATATGTCCTTTGAATGATCAGTATGATATTATCCTGATCAATAATATCAGTAATGATGATCATATACTGACTTGATAAGCTATTCAGACAAACATTAGTAATGTTATTGAAAAATAATACTTAACAGATGGATATATATATTTCAAATTAATATATAATGGTTGACTGAAAATTGAACCATTGCAACTCCTAAACATCTGATTTTTTGTCAACTATTAAGCTGACTATTTAGATTAAATTCAAAAGTAACTGTTTAATTTCATTAACAACGACATTCTATAGGTAATTATCATTGTAAAATCACAGATTAACGTAGAAAAGTCAATGTCATTAAAATTACTTAGTCTATAAAACAAACATTTCATCTGATGTCTCGATGGAATTAACCAGTTTGATTATATTGACACAAAATGAACTAATATTTATTAATAAGATAAGAAAAAGACGTAGTTTACTTTGTACAATGTTCAGAACTTAACAGATTGACTAGTTGTTAAAGCCAGCATTTAAATTTTTAAAAAATCGAAATAGTGACGACGTCCCATTCTAATTATATTGAGAAAAAATCTCAAAATATTATGGTTTTAAGGTCATAATCATGTAATATGATACGGTCTCACTCATTCTAAACATACTCAGTATCGTGATCACATCATACATATGTGCGTATGTTTCAAAGATATATATATATATATATATATATATATATATATATATATATATATATATATATATATATATATATTAGGCGGAGTTCAATGTCACAATAAGTAATTAACCGATCTCATGGCTAAGCAATTCTAACTTCACCTATCAATGAAACTGGTAAAATTAAGTTTTCATATTGTTAATCATGATGATGATGATGGAAAAGTTGATGAATCGTATTTTATTCAAATGTAGATGACTTTCCTGTCGTCCAATTTCTGTGGCCTTAAACAAACACAAAAAGTTGTTATTCAACGAGAAAAAAAGATAAACACCATCTAATTCTAAACAAATTTTTCGCAACTATTAGTCGTTAGATATATACTATTGTCTTATTTAATAGAATAGACGTTCAATTGCCTATTTTTATACAGTTAAATAGTTTATTCAATAACAATTAGTGATTTATTATGCATACTACTGAATAATATTAATATTCTTTCTGTCTTTACTTACACCTTCATTCACATCAGTCAGGGTCATTTTTAAAATATATAAATAATCAACATTTTTCTACTAATCCGTTACTAATTTAATTTACTCCATAGTCTTTTGTTTTTATTTATTCCATAATTCCCACTGAATTTGACTAAGTAATAAAAATTTATAACATCATTACACTTTAGTGATTAGAATAAGAATCAAAGAAACATGTTACTATGATACCTTTGTATCACAATGAGCGTCAGTCTTACTACAGACACAAGATTTTTGACTTATCACCTCAAAATCTAAAGAACCACACAGTTGATTACTGATCTATGATTGCCTATTTTCTTTTCTAAATTGTATATATCTTTGTTAAACAAACACACATAGTTGATAGATCTAAAACTAAATGGAATATACGTTAATGCTTGTAATTCATAGAAATTTTACAATAAATTATAAGTTATTACAATTCAGTAATAAAGCTCTATACAGAAAATTTACAGATCAGTTTAGTTCTCCAAATTCTAATATGCGAAAATTTTATTAAAACATAAAGTGATTTGAAATTCACCCCATTGCACAAGCAAGTGGCTATCAGGACTTAGTAGCTAAGTGGATAACGCGATGGCGTTTGAAGCGAATGGTACTGGGTTCGAGTCCCCGAGTGAACATCAGCTCAGATGCAGGTACATCCATCTGACGAGTCCCAAATAGTAAGAAACACGCATCCTGGATTCCACTGCTGGCCACCATCCATCTTTGCTTAAAAAAATGAATTTAATTTTGTTTATTAAATCCATTGCTATTTATCATTTAGTTATTATCATTATAATTATTTATTATTATGTATGCATTATTTCAAGTTGTCATGACAATATCAGTACAGCAAGAAAAAATTACCGAGAAAAATTCCAGAGCAATGATGAAATGATAATATCTGTGGTTATAGAAAGAAAAAGTGGGCATTAATATTATGATTCGAGAAGAGGGAATGAATTCATGAAATAGAAAATTTTAAGAGAAAATAAGAAATACATTCAACGACTACATCTGTATATATAATAGTGATTTGCAGTAAAGTTTCGCCAAAATATTTATTAGAAAAACAAAATTAATAATAATGCTAGACCATACGTTTTTTTCTAGGTAAAATGGGACAAAAATTTAATTAACTTTTTTTTTATTGAATGTATCTATGTACTCTAATTTTCACTAATATTAATTATAATAAATACTGAATTCAGTTTGACTTCAAGATTGTATTAAAGTCCTGATTTTTAAGAAGAAGAAGATACAACTTGATGAGATGGTATCATACAGTATCAAGAATAAATTACAGAAACTTAATTGAATATAATTTCAACATTTATTTTACTGTAACCGATACGATATGATTTCTAATGATGACTGTATAAACACATGAGTGTCTTTTCAGGTCACGTTTGTCATCATTACTTTCTTATCGTTCATGTTACTTATACTCTGATTCTCCTAACAGTAATAATGTAAATATTTTGAATATAAATTGATTCAATTGTAATTAGACAGCCTAATAGAAAGTCGGAGGTTATACCTAATGTTTAAACTAGATATTTTTTTCAAAAAACCATAGTCGGAATATCTAAATTATTAAACAGTAAAAGATTGGTCATATATTACATAAATGTCATTTTAACAATTCATTGGTTCATAAAAGAAGAGCACCCTTGTTTCTTAAATTGATATAATGTAAGTACAGTTTAATTAAAACATACAGCAATAGAATAAGCTTTTTTCTTTATGGTGTTATCTTCCATGATTATGTTAAATTCAACATCATTGTAAAGAATAAAACTAATTTCACTCGAATAGAACACTTCACATTAATCAAATTACTGACGAATTCACCTGAATATATAAAGTTAAATAACCTTTAAAAACATTTTGGAACACACCAGTAATTTATTGATAAGAAATTCATTAAATCTTTCTCAGTATTTTAATCTTTCACTAACAAATAAGAATTTTCTATAGAATGTGAAAAATCATTCCGAAGATTTTTTTGATAAAGTTACTTAGAAACTTTAAATTCATAGGATGATCTTTAAATTTGAACCAATTTAAGTTTGTTCACACACTAATCCAATAATAAGTACAAACCTTATCTTTAAACTACTGAAATAAGTCTTAGCTAAAAAGAAAGAATTAAATGGTATGTCTTTATTAGCAAAATACTGTTTATTCCGATGATAATTTCTATCAAGAAGTAATTTCAACTACAGAATCACTAAGAAACATAAATCATCAGGAATTTTTTTCATTCAAGGATGAACTTAATATTCATTACTTTTTGGTATTAATAAGTTATTCAGTTGACATCAATTGGTGACGAAAATTACCTTCCCAAGGAAAGTTTATTTAGAAACTAACGAATAAAAGTCATTGTCATCAATAGTAACTTACGCGGAGTAACCAGGAATGATTTGATTTTCTTTAGACTGAGGCAGACACTCGGTGAATAGTATAATAGAAAACAGTAAAACGAAACCAACAATAGTTATTTTATTTGACCAAATCATTTGTAAAGTAGTTATCTTAACAATAAATGTAAATAACTTTGTTATTAATGAGTGAGTAGTAGGAAAATGAATTTCTCAACATCTCATTTCAGAGGACTTAAATTTGTTAATCCACCAATTAACGATCAGATGTCTTTTTTGAAAGAAACAAAAAGTATTTTTTTATTATTGGTTGAAAATATTTTCTCACATGTAATTGTGGAGGTGGGTTAAAGTGTCTGATAAATATGGATAGGTTTCATCAAATCATTGTGATTAAATGGTTAAAAAACTTGTACAATGAGATGAAAATTCGGAAAATTAATAATATGGGTTAATTATAAGAATACTTCACATGAGGAATTATTCATCTTCATAATATTTTCTTCCAATGAAATTTCTGAGGATGACACTAAACAACATAGGAATGTTCAACTGTTACCTAATCATTTAACATCTAAATCATCATAAGACTTCGCTTCAATGATATCTTATAACTGAACAAAATCATTGGTATTACTTGATGCAAGAAAAATTCGACGGAACTAAAAATAAATTAAAAGCTATTTCTACCTAATTTACACTGATTATTGATAAAATTTCAGATAAATTAAACTGAATAGTATTTGGTATCAACTAATAGATAAAATGGATCTTAACATATAGTACTGCCAATCGGTATTCGACGACGCATAGATGCCATTGAATATTTGGTAAATTTGTAAATCAGTTACCAGTCATATTTTGATCTCCTATTCTTTAAACTATTAGAATCTAATTTTAATCAATTTTCACGAGTTTTTGAAATTATCATAGACATTATATTTATATCTCATGTTTTCGGCTTCTATCCAAATATTCCACGGGCATTTTTTTCAAAATCACACACTCACTAACACTTTTGTTTGTTCATGTCATGATTGCAAACTGCATGTTGCGGTCAAATTCGATTCACGCTATCCAGATACTTTTGTCCTTATTGCTTCTACCATATCAAGAATCTGTAGATAATTTTGAAAATTACATAACAAATTCATTCACTGACATTCTACAAATACATTCTTCCTCCTTAACCTAACAGTTATCCTGTACAATTCTTTCTTATTTCACATTGGATCTCAAACTAGCTCTTATAAAATAATAATATATTCTCCCGTTCGGCGTCCTTATTCAACAATAACTGATGAAACTTTTTGTTCAACAGCATTTAAATCCTTGAGAGCTTAGAAAATATCAGAAAAAATCAATTTATACAAGTTAGTTCCGCTTGGAATCTCGTAAAGCGACCGAATAACTTCATACTGCGGAAAAAATTGTTTGAAACTCATTACTTATTGGTAATTTTCTAACGAACGTTTTACTAGCAAATTAAATATCTGAGTTTGAGGTGAATGAGAAATTTTCAAGTACAAACGAAATGTCCCAGTGGTTTCTTAGTGTTTAACATAAATAATCATTTACAGCAAATCAACACACATGTTTAGGGTGTTTAATAAGAGATATCTAATTGAATTACTTTGTCCCACAACAAAACTTAAAGTCCATATCATAATTTCGGATCACACGCGCGTGACTCGAACCCAGGCCCTTTAATCTCACGCGCGAACTTTTGACCTCTAAAAGTATTAATATCGAATCTCAACCGATCCACAACCTTGCACAACCCTTCATCCATTGTCTTAGGTGGATAACTGTTTCACATCCGACACGGGTTGGACTCCACTGGTCATGGATTCTCACTAGAAATAGACACTAATGCCATTGGATCCCTGCTGAATGGTCTAGAGGTTAAGTGTTCGAGCGTGAGGCTGAAGAGCCTGAGTTCGAGTCATGCGTGCGGGATCGTAGATGCGCACTGCTGAGGAGATTCATACCAGAACGAAACGGCCGTCCAGTGCTTCCAGGTTTTCAATGGCGGTCTAGTTTAGATATATGATTTTTGAAATAATTCAAGATTAATTTTCTAAGAAAATCATCCGAATTCAGTTTTGCTGAATACGCGAAAAATTATTATTGGTAGTCTGTTATTACTACTAAACAGGTCACAGTAACTTGTTTAAATATAACCATCTTACAAGACAGAAAATAAGTGGGAAAGAACTGGGACTGCTAGTATATAAAATTTATTTATTTAACGAATAATGTCTTGTAATTGGAATCAAAGAATGAAGTACTTCATCGCGTCCAACAAATTGATCTAGGCGTCATTTGCCATTGCCTTTTGCTCAGTACCATGAAATCCTAGAAAATGATAACAACAATCGAAGTTGTTACGCAATATTATGGGCAAGAATTAGTTAGCCATAAAAAACGAAGGTTCTACCATTAGTTTATATTAGCTAATGTCCACACATTTAACAACACTATAAAAAGAATAAAAAATTGGAAACACATCGGTTTAATAAGTAACAGTCTTTTGTGGAAAACAAAATATAGAGTGTCTACTAGGTAAAGGACAAGTATGAAGAATATATATTTAGATTCAGAAACAAGAGGACGAATAAATGAATACATATGTATCACTAATACCAATTTCGGGTCATATCACGTGACATTCTCATTTATATATTGCAATATTCGGGAGAACCTTAATCTGGAAATAAAGTCTTTCTAATTCGGCTTATGGTATGTTTATTTTAGGCGTCCAAGCTTAATTAGATATCTCACAGCACAAAATGTAAGAATCATCAAGTACAAATACAACCATTTGATAAGTGTCACTTAGCATTACAAACACTACACTCCAATAAATATCTAAGATTAAACATTCGTGGCCAAACTAAGCACTTTTTTGACTAGAATTCGAATACATATTATTGTTAAGTTTACTTTCTATCAACGTGTATATATGTATGTTTACCAGTTATTTCAATCTGCTTGTATTTACTTAATACACTTGGTGTAAAGTGATTAAATAATTTCACTTTACTTTATCTGTATTTATGAAACTCCTAACCGACCAACTCACCAGTAAACAATACAATAAAAATGGATTTACTTCAAAAAAGTACTCTGACCATTTAAAACAGCAAAAGTGCAATGATAATTATGTATATATCACTGTATATACTGAGATATTTCTTGATATATATTAGGAATAAAGGATAATAAACAAGTATTCGTTCTAAAAAAAAAACAGCGTGAAAGCATCTAAAATTATTACTGATAGCGACAGTTGCTACCTTGTTTACTTACTTTTACAATAATGGCAACCGTGGAATGCAAATTAGTTTTTATATGAGAAATAATCATGACCAAAAACAAAAGAGAATAATACAATTGATCATGGTGGTATTGAAATAATTTTTTGTGTGTTACAAAACACACACACATAAAAACTTTACTTGAACAATTTGTTATGTAATTAAAATAATTCTAGACTTCTTTATTTTATATTTGACCTACTCTATACACAGTAGCGGTAGAAGAGGTGTTTTCCTGAATGTCCAGATAAGCTACAGATAACTTGGATGGGCATGAAAGGAGAATAACCCATTCAAACAATGATTAACAGCCACACATGCTGATATATTCAGTGTAATTATGGATAAGGAATGTAAGGTCTAGATTTTTATACATTATATCATGAACTGAAGTTTTACATCAGGTTTTCGATTATTACTGGTACAAAGCATTATTCGTGCACATAAGCTATACTTTATAGGAAATGGTTAGACAAAGCAATATATGCTTGGCTGTAATAAAGACTGTGTTCCGATAAGTAATTTTATTATGAAGCACTGACATTAATAGGTTGGATGTGTTCCACATATGACTAAAAGCGAATTCCATAGAATGTTGTGGTGAATAGTCAATACATTGACCTTGCAATTAAATATGAAATGTTGTGTTTATATCGATCATAATAATACAATACAATATCATACTGCGTACTTTGAATTTGAGTTCTTGATCGTGTCATGTCGAAGTTCTGGACTTAATGGGATTAGTACTATTTCGTCACATTATTTCAAACTCACAAATGTATTATTTGATGACTCTGGAAATAAGTAGACTAAAGAGGGAGGTGTTTGGTCTGCTTTTGTACAACAAAATACGCAATGGTTATGTTAGATGAGTATTTGTTTGTATATTATATATGCTTAAGTGAGATTCTAGAGGTCTCATATGTCCGTGAATTGATATGTTTCCTCACATTGTTTAGTGACAACAGTATTGTAGTTTTCTGTTATGCTATTCGCAGACAGTCAAACACACCTTTGAGACAAGTGGAAACCATCTTTCTAACTATAATGATATCATTTTATATTCCTACTTTTCTTTTAACACTAACCGATTTTCTCTTTCGTTTCTTCATAACTCCATTTTATTTCGTGTGGTACAACTTCTGAGACTCTCCTAGACCAAGCAACTTTCGCATGACAAATGAGATAAAATAAATTCCTTATGTAGTATTGTAAATTAGCAACTATATACAAGATAATATCTTTGGAGTTTGAAAACTACTCGCAACCGATAAGAAACTAGGCAAGATTTGAACTTACAAACTAATGGTTTATATTCCAACGTTTGGTCTATGGGATCAAGATACTGCCAACGTTACTCCACCTGCTTTTGTCTGAGCAGCTGTATGGTATCACTCGTTCGAGTATAAAGTAAATATTCTAGATGCTGCACTGTTTATTTGTTTTGTCATTACGATACTTTGCGCCTCCACTGTCAATGACTAGATAGCATCGTTGGTAGCATATAGGCTTAATTCATAGGCCAGTGTGAAAATATTTATTTTACTTATCAGTTGCATTTATTTTAGCTAATCCGTATTTCAGCTGATATATTGGTAATACCACCTTTGGAACTATATTGCCTTCTCCAAGAGCTAACATGGTATTTTAATTATAACACTGCGAATATCACAACCATGTCTGGGTGCGCAAAAATCCCCCAACAGTCATCTTTGATCTATTGGTTATTGTTGATTTTCATCCAATGAATTATTAGAACAACTCAGAGAACCTTTTAATCCGTCCACCAGTATGTTTGTGTACTACATCTAAGGAAAGGAGTGACTGCGAAACATGTTCCTAAATGTCACACAGAAACTAATATTCTGAGTTTTTTGACAGGTTCACATCTAGTATGTGCAAATGACTCCGACACTTCTGTTTAGGAAACTAAGACTTATGAAAGTTTCCTGCAACTGACCAGCTTAGGGTAGTGATTTGAACCATATTTTATTCTAGTTAACGATTTTACAGTACATTTTGTGAAAACATTTATGGTTTGAGAGACGCATAAAACTATGCCATTGAGGCACTGCCAATGACTACGTTGATTACTTCTAAACCTCCTTACCACCTGTCCTCGAACATAGACATTACTCTAGAAATCCCACCTTGTTAGTTTTATATTTCTTATTTATTTGGCCGATAATTAATCGAGGCCGTATTTCTTTTGTAAACATTCATTTAGATGCGATAAACACCCAGTATATGGTCAGCTACAAATCGCAGTAACGTTGTACCAAGTCCAGTAAGATGTTCCCAGTTTCGTTTGCCCAGAGGTAAAGCACTAGATACAGTTAATTCGACGTGAATCCTCAGAACTCTGTCCACAAATAATGTTTTCAACTGGAAAATTAACAGTCAGAGCGCACCAGCCTACGCAGCTAATAGGATTTTTTTTAGTACCTTAAGGCGAAAGTATATTTTTTGGTAGTCAGCACAATGTATTAACAGAAGATGCTACACACAAATGAATATTACTTAGGCTAGTTCCAGAAGTTCTGATCTAATATGCTATATCGAGAATGACTACTGTGATTAACTATCGACTATCTCTAAACCACTTGTTATATTTGAGGGTAAAGCATCCCCTGTACCCCACATAATATCTCTCATACAGCCACCCATTTGTAGTCTATGCCATAGAACTACTACTCACACTTTTTGTGGTCTTTACAGAAGTGTGGGAGCGAAAAGTAGGGTTCATGTCGACAAACCTAGTTGATGGATACGGAGTCCATTTGAGGGAGCTAAAGAAACCTGTTTTCAAATCGACAGTATACATAGCCTGTGAGATCTTGAGTGGATGAATGACACACGAATATATCCTAGCCGCTGACTACTATAGGACTCCATCTCCTGTTGCTGTTTCTCTGTTTTGTGAATTAGATCTCTAGGCCAAAGGATCGATTCTTTCTCTCTGTATCGTACTCGTACATGCAATCTTTATTTGTATGTATTACTACCAATGAAGCAACTGCTACTATTTGTTGTTCATCTTGTTGTGCTAATGAGGTATGACAACTTAGATCGATGCTTATATGTGCCTTGTCCTACGCTGCAGATAACTGACTAGGTTGAAAGCTCAGGGAGATTTTTAAGGAAATCACCCATTTCACTGAGATTTCGTACATTACCCCAGTTCACACACACATAGTAAACAATAATTGTGAAACTATTCAATTCGCTCAGCCTCTTTAATCACCTAGACAACATTCGCAACAACTTTATTATAAATAAATCTATTTCGCAATGCTTTATCTTTCTCTTGATTTTTACCTTAATTCTGTGTAAACTTATATTCCTTAAGTTGCTCAGCAGTCCGTATACTGAAAGTTGTCCCAAACGGATAGTCTCGAGTAGCTGGATTATCGATTTTAAGAATACTAACATCAAACAAGAAATATGATACAGGTTCTCTGAAGTTGTATATGCTATTTAAATTCACTGCCTTTATGTGAGAACGATTTCGATCACCTACATCTCTACTGAACTTACACAGATTAATTACTACTATGCTTATACTTTTAAAACTTCAAAACTGATAGCTTGATAGATAGTTGTAACGTTACCTCTGAGCTCATTAACTCAATAGTATGTTATGTTCGACATCGGAGAGTTGAAGATGATTGACCAAAAGGTATAGACAAGTTTTTTTACTTGATAGAATCCAACAGTTCTATTTTCGAGAAAATATTACATTAGTATTCATAGTGTGTAACACATCCACTAATTATAATTTCCGGAAGATTGCCCCCAAATGCCCTGGTACGACCGAGAGTGGGGAGAGTTCGCTCTCCCTCTCGAAATGCTCTCACACGGCCACGCGTATATAGCCCCTGCCAGGGAATTCCTGCTCACTGCTTTCTCGTGATGGGGGTGTTGTTTACGAAATCGAGAGGACAAAAAGCGAATGTACGGCGTTTCAACCGGGTTGGTATACATGGAGATTCCACCTAGAGGAGTTGGAAAACCCTCATTCCAGACCAATCGTGGACATGGGTTCCAGGATCCTGGAGAAACAAATGGCGTATGAACCAATCGTTGGTCACCGGCTGCCATGGGACTGCATCTCCTTACGATGCTCCACTGCCTTGTGGATCAGACCTTCAGGTCGAAGGCTCCGGGTGTGGCCCCCTAAGAAAACCACCTGCTTCAGTTTGGGCACCCGGGCAGTACCACAGCCCTCACACATATCAAATGAGATTTGTGTGGCGCATATGTATTTGGTGCCTCCTTGTACCAATATCTACGTGTTAAAATAAATAATAAAAATCAGGAAGATTAGTAGGAACTTACTTAACTAGTCGACTTTATACAGACTACTTGGTTGGGGTCCGCGTGACTATCGTAACCAATCGTTGGAGACTCTTGGTGACATGGCTCAGAATCGATCACAATGGCGTCGGTGTATACACTCTCTATCTTCCCTTAAACTAAGAGATTAAAATCGCTTCATATCTTTCTTTCTACGAACTAATTATTTCTTGCTGTACTATATCCTTATTGCAATCTTTCTTTTATATACTACCACCTCTGAATTAACTACTTTTATAAATCCGGTGTCCATCTTGTTGTGTTAATGAGGTATGGCAACTTGGACCGATGCATAAATGTGCCTGGTCCTACGTTGTAACTGACTGACTGATGCGAGCAACAGAGAAACCAAAATGACATTTAGAAGCATATCTACTATGATGTTAATGTAATATTTGATAACAACACATAATTTACACACTAAACTGCAGGAGCGAAATCTTTTGATGGTCTATATGGGGACATAATGTAGATGGATTATTTTATTTGAACACAAATATTGGTACAAGGGGGCCCCAGATGTATATGCACCACACAAAACAATGAGAATGGGGAGGGAAAAAGAATGTAAGGTGCGTATAAGGGAAAAAAGAACAATAACGACCAGAGATTAGTGTATGGTAGTGTAAAGATAATAATAATAATAATAATAATGGTGGGGAAAACGGAAAGGTACAACCAGAAGAATTCTTTCAGCTAGGTAAGTTACAACCATTTTTTATGAAGAAAGTAAAGGAAGTTTACAGCAGGATCGCCACTGGCTTCTATTCTGAGACATATCTGATAACGTCTCTAGCCCCCCCCCCCAAATGCCCTGGTATGGCCAAGAGTGGCCAAGCGTATAAAGCCACTGCCAGGGAAGTTCTACTCACTGCCTTTTCGTGACGGAAACGTTGTTTGCGATATTGAGAGGACGAAAAGCGAACGTACGGCGCTTTGACCGGGTTGGTGTACACAGAGAGTCCACCTAGGGGAGTTGGGAAACCTTGCTTCCAAACCAATGGTGCATATAGGCTCCAGTATCCTGATGGGTAAAATGGTCACCGGCTACCATGGAACTACAACTCACGATGCTCCAGCGCTCTGTGGGTAAGACCTTTAGGTCAAATGCTCGGGGTGTGGCCTCCTAGGGAAACCACCTGCTTCGATCTGGGCACCCGTGCAGTATCACAGCTCATACGCAAATAGAATGAAGTGACGATATTTACTGAAAATGTAGATAAAACAGCTAGACTTGTCTAGAAATTCTATTTAAATTCCTTGGATGCTCACAGTACCTACGGAAGGACAGGGTACGGAAGCGTGGCATTATCTTACACAAGAACAGTGCTCAAAAGAAAAACCTAGTCGGCGGAAAACGTATAAATCAGTGACAAATACAACAGTTCATTCTGAAGACGAAACTATGAAACATAATCAGTTCATGTGATGCTTCGATACCTTGAAAATACCACGAACACCCACTGACAGTTGAATGAATAACGCTATACTTTGAATATATGTATTGAAATTATACAAGTAAAAAGTAGCATCTCAGTAAATGGGCACAGCAACTCAAAGAGCAACATTTAGGTCCATTATGCAAAATATGGCAGATCTTTGGAGAACTAAGAAATTAGCCACAGTAAGGTGGGTGTACCTGATCTATAATAACTTGAATAGACTTTGAGTAGTCCTCTATTCTTCCTTTTAATTCCTGAGCGAGCTTCTCTTTCCTTATGCACTCAGCATTCAAGGCATCAATCTCCTTGCACAACATTAGAATGAACTTCTTAATACCTCTTTCAGAGCATATTCCTGACAGTATGTTGATAGTGCGAGGCGCTTCTTAATAAACCATGAGTCCATTTGTCGGCAAGCGTCTAGCAGCGATGCCATATGTTTATCATTTAGCCCATGTTGTGATTCTGAGATATCGGAATCATGCAAACTCGTCGAAGATAGCACCATAAATATATTCTTGAAAAAATACATCTCAACTCATCTCTTACATCTAACTGAGTCTCAAGATCCGAGAGAACTTTCGCATCCGAATCCATCGGCCTTGAATCAAATCAAGCAGTATCTATATCTAATTAACCTTAAAGTTTCAAACAAAAGCAATAATGACATTTAGCACGTGGCGTGACTACCTGTTTACAGAAAAAGTGAATAGCAGCAGAGGTTAGAACGGTGTCATCAAAATTTTAGAGCTTATATAATAATAACATTTTCATTTGATATGAGATTTTAATTTGCTTGTTAGAATTAGTAAACTGTTTCCTACTTTTAATGTGCGTCTGAGTGGTTAGAAAGCGCTCTTGTTTACGATTTTCAGTATATTTTTCCGGCAACTGGAGATGAAGCTATTTAGTAAATAATGGAAGTAGTCGAGGAGAAACGCTTTTAGTAATTCTTCTTAGTATCCATAGCGCTAAAGTAACCTCTCTTCTAAACTTTAAATGGAGAGTGTCCTCACTTAAATAAACGCTGAGAGTAGCTTAAAATAGTTCGGTGATCGGTTTGCTGGCCATTTAAGAAATAAATACTAATAGTGAACATACATAACTGACTGAGGACTGCCAAGGAGAAAAAACGCCAAGTTTATCACATAAAGTGACGCTCAGGTCCCATTCAGTGGTATTGTAGTGTGATCTCCTGGGAAGTATGTAATGATTAGCAATCACTGACGCCCATCATTAACACCGTGTTCATATAGATTGAGATAAAGTGGATTTTCCGTAGCCTAGTTATGTGTCATGTGTAAGTTTCCTTGAGGAGTCAAGATACCACCTGAGTTCGCTAATTCCCTCTTCATTCTAAACTCGTCTGAGTTAAAGAGAGTTTGATAATTCAGAGTGCTAGGTAGATCAGTACTGAATAATGTGAAGTAGAGGGGTGATCTTATCCGCAACGCAACCATGTAAACTTAATGTATCGCACAGGGTCATCTATGCGTTCAAGTAACCACAGATTTTGTCTGACTGCGTTACACTGTACGTCCATTTGCACGCTGGGATGATATCTCAAGTCATAGTAAGTTAATTCACATAATTGATTGTTTCCAGATAGACTGTCAGTGCATGATCTTACTGAAGAAAAGTTTGTTGTACTGTAAACTGTGTTTCTATGAACAACTCCCCGTTGTCTTCAGTATGAAAGCAGTTTATATGTATCCTTCTTTTTATTCTTAGGTAAGTTCAACTGGCCTATATTTCGTGTTTTGGTTTTATCGGCTTAATTATGTTCATTTAACTACTACTACTATACTTAAGTATAGTGCTTGAAGCCTGTAACGAAACAGATCAGTTTAGTAAGTAGAGTTGCCTGTTTCTAATGTGTATACGGATTCAGATCATTCTGATTAAAAATAGAAAAAAACGTGCCTTTGATGCTGTTGCTGTCATACTTATAAGATAGCGATAAGTATGTTTGGTGTTTATTTCTAAACTGTACATCTATCACTGACCATAATTCATTATCACTGTCATTAAACAATTTCCCCAGCAATAACATCGGTAGCAGATAGCTAAGTGTCTGAGCTTTTAGTTGCTCGCAAAACAGCAGTATACAGTCCTAGAAGATGAGTGTTCTCTGTCTCAATTAAATGCAGCTGGCTGTGGATAAATGTTAAGAATCTTTTTGACAACTGGGACTTTTAGTTTATCAGACACTAACTATGCTTTTATGTCTTCCTGTTAAATAAGACGCAGATGCATGGGAATACTTAAATGGGAGCAAAATAATAAAAGCATTGCGATACGGCACTAAGCCTATGTGATGCTTTGCACAAGTAATAATAGCTGACCTGATCTAATATTCATGAACTGAAGGTAAATCACAACTGCATTAATTCTTTGCTAGAAAACATGTAATTTGGTTATTTGTCTATTCCACATTTCTGACTAAATTTATTACTATTTTTCCATTTAGAATGCAACAGGAGTGAGTCTTCACAGATCCTGAGAACTGTTTCGCCCCTAGAACTATGGCCCTATGAAACTTTTCGGGAGACCCAATTAACAGGAGATTATAAAAAGAATGCTGGACTTCCATTTTAGTCTCACAACCACTTTCAGTACATTTTGAGTTACTTCTTTTACCCTTTCATTCGGAAGAAAGCAACAAAGACTGAAGCTTAACATTACCAATGAAACTTTTAAACGAGAACTTCGTTTGAACTTTTGTTTGATATTCGATTCTTAATGAAATTCCTCGAATAAATTTTTGGATCTAATGCTACTTTGTTTTATCTACTTAATCGTCGCAAGAAACTTGTTGCTTAACAGGCTTCCGTGTCTAGTAGCAGGGGGTCACCAAAACCTCCAGGCAGGAACCTAGGTATGTTGACAATAAAAGAGGAAAGAGAAGTTGGTAAATCGTAGTATGATACTATCCTTAAGAACAAATCCATTTGCCTCTTAAAGGACTCCTGGGAAGTCGCCTGGACTAGCTCAGTCGTCAGACAATTTCAGCATTTGACAACTTCCAAAGAGTAAGAGTTGTGTCTCCGATTTATGGGTGCTGCCCCTTAGGTTGGTATTGGGACTAAACTTAAGCAGGCGTTTTAGGGATGTGCAGAAGTGTTAATGTTATTGTAAGCCATTAGGTCACCTCCAAGACGTCTATACTATGAGTAGAGGTTAAATGATTGGAGGCACTCTTCATAAGGTGATTTGGTGCATATCTTCATCATTTTCTTGGGAGACCTACAGACTCGGGTCCTCTCACAACTTATTCTAACCACCATGTGTTGTCACGGCAGCTGATGGATGGATACGCGTTACACATCCTAACCGTACCTGCATTTTATCTTATAGCTTCTAATTCAAATGCCATATGACAACCAAGCAGTGCCCCTACCCGCACTAATGCAATACTAGTAACTCAAATGCACTCCGTATGGTGACTTGCACTAGTTTACGCACTCGCTTAGCTCTTCTGTGAGAATTAATACGGTCCTGCTGAAAATCCCATGAACCCCCCTACCTCCATCAAAACAAATAAATCTGTATTTGCAGCATATAGCTATTTATTATCCAAAAGTAAGATATAACAGTTAGAATTGGAGTAAAATGGCAATATACAGCAGATACATGTGGTACATGTCTTCATCGATTAACTGAAATAGAGAATATGGATATCAGCTTAACAGGCTTATTTAGAAAGACTAGTGTCTAATTTGAACTTACTGCGTGAGAAAGTAATACTGGAACTACGAATGTTGTAGAAATAGAGTTTCCCGGGGCGTACGAAGCACTCAGACTGTAAGACAGTTGTCCGAAAATGATTCGAATATGAAGGTGAGAATTTGCAGGTACTTTTCATCGTGTGGGTGAACATATTAAGTACCGGTTGACATCATACCGTGAGAAAACACAAATTTGCGAGTGGTGAAATATAATCTATAAAAAAGTGAGCTTAATAACAGTTAATTACCTTTTTACTCCCTGATCATGACCCTTCGGCTTCCTTTTATGGCCAAAACAGCAAACATACACTAGACACCGGTAGCAGATTTCTGGCTTCTCAATGTTAAGCTTGCTTTAACGCACTGAGTAATGGGTACAACCCCTCTATTACTGTTATATGGCATATTTTTCATAACAAACCCTCTGCAATAGATTGGTAGCATCTGTGACTTCATCTATAGTTGTCGGAAGTCTGGGTCCTTCCGAAATCAATACCGATACACCCTACTGCTGGGCAGTCTGTATTAGTTTGACTCGTTGGTGGGATAGTGTTGTCCATAATACTAAAGAAAATTTAAAAAACGCAGATTCTTTCTTTTCATTTTGCCGATAACATCATAAAGGACAGTTAGGAACGAACATGCGAACAGTAAAAGTCACAGATGGCAGCAACAATTATTTTAGCTAAATAAAAACGAACTTCGGCTTCGGATATCTAGAAAACAAGGTAAAACATAACCGATTGTCGTTTAAAAACGTAAGGTCTTATGTTAGTACTAGCCAGCTTAGCTGAATAAATACAGTGACTTCAGTAGCAGCAGGTAAAACCCAGAAAACAAAGCAAAATCAGGAAAAAGTCTGCTCCAACGTTTAGAGCATTACACTAACTCTTGGATTTTAGCACACTGAAACATCAAATTCTGTAGCTACACAAAAGAAATAGCGGAAAACACACAGAACGAAGAAAACCGGCCGACATTTTATAACACAAGACTAGCCAGATTGCCTGAAGAAATACATTGACTTGAGTAGAAGCAGCGAAAACCCAGAAAACATCGCTGATTCGAAATAAACTTCACATTAACATATAGGACATTACACTAACTGCGGCATTTTAGCACACTGGGACATTAAATTACACAGCTACACAAAAGAAATAGCTGAAAGAAGCACAGAACGAAGAAAGCCGGCCGCCATTTCTTACGAAGATGGCGGATGTAATAATTCCCGCCTCATTCTGATTGGTTGCTAAGCTGAAGGGCACATTTACGAAATTGAGTTGCGTTTAATTGCAGCCGAAGTAGAGCTATTCAAGAATTAGGCCATGTGAAAATTCACTGGTCACCTAAATGCAGTTTGACGGATTAATGCGAATTCAGTCTGTGATGTCCCATACAGATAGTAACAAAGACAATTCAACAGGCACGAAAGAGTCCATATGACCTGAACCTTGTAGACTCAGGTTATAACGTTAAGGATCGTAAGCCCATATGCTAGGTCTTACAGTTTCCAGGTGTCATGATTCAACGATTACTTAAGAATGCCAGATACCGGTTGATAAAAGGGATCTATCATCCACCTAAAATGATGTCCATCACGTTGAGGTGGTCTATGCTAAGAGATTTTAAGTACCAATTAGAGTCCACTTGCATCCGGACAGGCCATACGATGTCAGGACAGCAGAAATGTTAGATCTTACAAAAATCGCATAGGGAACAAAAAACTTGGCATGAATTTTTTTAGTTATTATTTCTTTCAACTCAAATAAGGCGAAATCAGATAAAAAGACTGAGCTCACTTGTGGGTTTATAATTGGGAGTATACATGGCATTAAACAATAAAATGAACAATTCGTTTAAAGTAGACATTGGAAGTCCATAACAAGAGGTAGTTAGACTCCTGCTTGACAGCACATA